TTCCTTCCTTCCTTCCTTCCTTCCTTCCTTCCTTCCTACCTTCCTACCTTCCTTTTTGTGTGGTTGAGGACTGAACTCAGGGCCTTGCACTTACCAGGCAAGCACTCTTCCACTGAGCTAAATCCCCAACCCCAGAGCATTCCTATTTTAGTTCCATTCAGAAATAGTTTGGGATGCTTTCAGTGTTAGGTAGGATATTCTGCTCTGAGGATCAATAAGATAATCCTCTCCCTTTGGAACTCATAGTTTCATAGGATAAATATGTAATTGCAATAAGCTACAGATGGCTTAGGTATTTTTCTGAATAGAAGAGTTTGTTTTTAAAATTAGGGAGGTTTCGGTAAGTATTCCTGGAAGAGATGATGCTGAGTCCTGATAGATGAACAAGTCAAGCCTTTCTCTAGGCAACTGCCTAGACAAGGGAGATAGCAGGACCCAAAGTGGAAAGTCATCTTAGGACAGAATGATGAGCAGTTTGCTGCCAAAGCAGAAAGTGCAAGGTCAGAGCATCAGGAGATACATCCAGGAAGATGACAGGAAGAGCTTTCTAGGCCATGTTAGGGAGCTTGGATTTTATTTGGGGAGACTTCAGTGCACATGGGTGTTGCTAACCATGTTTCTCACTTTGACAATACATGAAATCACAAAGGATCATTTGAACTTTGTGGAAAAGTGCTCCCAGGACCCTTCATGACAATAAGTTGTCAAAATGTTTCAGATGCTGCTTTATTCATTCATTCAAATATCTCTGATGTTTGTTTATTTTGTCATTCATTCACTGAACATTTCACAGTTCTATGCTGGGAATTGAGGAGCAACTTACATAAGATAGGATCACCTTCCAAAGGGATCTAAACTTGCTTCAGGAAATACATATATGTATCTACCATAATGTAACCAATCAGTGTTAGAAGATTTATGTATTAGCTGGATGCCTGTGGTTCATGTCTGTAATCCTAGCTACTCAGGAGGATGAGACCTGACGATCTCAGGATCTTTTCTGCCTGGGCATAAAAGTCCCCTTGAGACCATTATCTCCAATTAACCACTCATAAAACCAGAAGTGACACTGTGGCTCAAGTGGTAGAGTGCTATCCTTGAGCACAAAGAGGCTCAGGGACAGTACCCAGGCCATGAGTTTAAGTCCCACAACCAACCAAAAAAAATTATGTATTGTAGATGTATAAAAATGTGCTGAGAGGGTTTTTTATCCAGATGATCTAGGGAAGGAGAAATGACATTGGAACAAAGCCACACAGAATAGCTTAGAAATATACAAACATATACAAAAAGCATACAAATATGCAAATATAAAAAATTAATCTGGAATGTCAGCTTTTTCTAGTCAAAGATCACATCTCTCTTAGAGACTCAGTTTTTAAAGATGGAAGTTTCAAGAACTTAGAAAGTGGAAAAACTTCCCATGCTCCTGGATTGGAAGAATCAACATCGTGAAAATAGCAATACTTCCTAAGACTACCTACAAATTCAATGGGATACCTATCAACATTCCAACCTCATTCTTCAAGGAAATAGAAGAGGCAATCCAAAAATTCATATGGAACAATAAAAGACCCCAAATAGCAAAAATGATCCTTAACAGAAAGAATAGTGCTGGAGGAATATCAATATCAAAGTTCAACTCTATTACAAAGCCATAGTAATCAAAACAGCTTGGTAATGGCACAAGAACAGACTTCAGGACCAATGGAATAGAATTGAAAACCCAGAAATGAACCTACAGACCTACAGCCATCTAATCTTCAATAAGGGAGCTAAAAAATAGAATGGAAGAAAGACAGCTTCTTCAGTAAATGGTGCTGGCAAAATTAGTTAATACTTGTAGAAAACTAAAGCTAGATCCTTATGTATCACCTTACACCAGAATCAACTCCAAATGGATCAAAGACCTCAGAGTCAAAGCAGACACTCTGAAAACATTACAGGAAGGAATAGGAGAAATGCTAGGTCTTCTTGGCATAGGCCAAAATTTTCTTAATAGAGGCCCAGAAACACAACAAATCAAAGAAAGGTTGGACAAATGGGATTGCATGAAATTGCAGAGCTTCTGCATGGCAAAGGACATAGCTAGCAAGATCAATAGAAAGCCCACGGATTGGGAGAAGTTCTTCACTGGCATACAACAGACAAGGGTCTCATATCTAAAATATACCTGGAACTCAAAAAATTAAATCCCCCAACAACAAATTCTCAAAGAAACAACTGCCCAATAAATATGTGGGCTAAAGACTTAAAGAGAAACTTCTCTGAAGAGGAAAGAAGGATGGCCAATAGACCCATGAAGAAATGCTCAAGCTCCCTAGCCATAAAAGAACTGCTAATCTAAACAACATTGAGAGTCCACCTCACTCCAGTTAGAATGGCTATAATCAATAACTCTAATAACAACAGATACTAGAGGGGATGTGGACAGAAGGGAACCTTACTGCATTGTTGGTGGGAGTGTAAACTTGTTCAACCACTTTGGAAAGTAGTATGGAGTTTCCTCAAAAGACTCCACATAGAGCTCCCTATGACCCAGCAATCCCACTTTGGGGCATTTACCCAAATGATCACGAACAAGACCATACTAAAACTACCAGCACAACTATGTTTATTGCAGCCTTATTTACCATAGCTAAGATATGGAACCAACCCAGATGCCCCTCAGTAGATGAATGGATCAAGAAAATGTGGTATATATAATGGAATTCTATGCCTCCATCAGAAAGAATGACATTGCCTCATTTGTTAGGAAATGGAAAGACTTGAAAAAAATTATATTAAATGAAGTAAGCCAGGCCCAAAGAAACATAGGTCCCATGGTTTCCCTTATTTGTAATAACTAGTATATGTCTGAGATAAGCAGAAAAGCTCAGATAAGTTGATGTTAGGTGAAATAAACCCCCCAAGAATTTGTGGAGGGGAAGGGATAAACAAGTCGTTTAAATAAGGATACAGGTGGACCTGTTGCAACAATGAGAAGTACAAGTCCTTATGTCAAAAACGAACTTTACAACTTTGGGGGGGGGCGGGAGGATTAGGTGGGGGGCCAGGGGGAGGATGGGAAGGGATGGGAAGGGGAAATAAAGGAGGAGGCTACAATGCTTGATAAGAAATGTACTCATTACCTTGCCCATGTAATGGTAACCCCTCTGTACATTATTTTCACAATAAAAAATAAATAAAAACTAAAAAAAAAGTTGAAAAAAAAGCCCAAGATAAGTATTCAAATGTTTTTTCTTTCTTGTGATTGTTTCTAACATATTTATAAGATGATTTCTTTGTTGCTTTGTATGTCCCTCCCCCATGGTATAACCCCTGCTTTCTTTGTATTTGGTGTTGGTATAATTTGTTTAAATAGGGATACAGGTGGACCCATTGCAACAATGAGATGTACAAGTCGTTACGTCACAAAACGAACTTTACAACTTTGGCCGGGGTGGTGGGAGTAGGGGGGTGGGAGATGGGAAGAGATGGGAAGGGGAAACAAAGGAGGAGACAATAATGCTTGATAAGAAATGTACTCATTACGTTGCCCATGTAATTGTCACCCCTCTGTACGGTATTTTCACAAAAAAAGGTAGAAGTTCCAAGCTGTTAATATTGTTCATTTTCATTTTTATAAGGCAACATACCTGAAATCTTTCTCTAAAAAGTTTTTCTTCTCTTTCCATTTTATTTTCTAAGTTTTGCTTCTTGGTTCTGAAGAAATTTCTAGAAGGAAAACTGATAAGAAAAATGCCGAGAGAGTTAAATGTGCTATAATAAAATGTTACAAGATAAATACAGATACAAATTTATATGTGAATAGTTATATAAAGTTATATATCTATATTGTGCATTTATTTATACCCACTAGAGCAGATAGTGAAAACAGCTAAAAATCACTTTTCCTTACCATTTAGTGTATACATGTATGCGCTTTTTTCCCCCAGTTGGCTAGGGCCAGGGCCTCACAGATCTAAGCATGCATTTCACCACTGAAAATAACTGTTTTTTGATATTATGGTAACTTAGGATTAAATCCGGTTGATAGAGGACAGCTCATGGGTACAAGAAGTACAGGTGGAGAGCAGGAATGACTTCTAGGAGTAGGTAAAATGTAGTTGACAGCAATTAATTATATATTCTGAAACAGCTGGCAGAGAGGATCTGCTCCCGATACCAGGAAATGAGGTGATAGATATGATTGTACTCTGAGCTGATCATTTTACATCATACACATATATGTTATAGTAGATGTTATAGTATACCTCACAAATACGTTCAGCTAAGAATTTAAAACATTAAAAAATTAATTAAACAATTTAAGGTAAACAAGAAACACTGAGACAGGTATGATGGCTCATGCCTATAAACCAAGCAACTTGGGAGGCAGAGATAGGAGAATCTGAGGATCCCAACTTGAGGCTAGCCCAGGCAAGAGTTAGTAAGATTCTATCTCAAAAATAAGCTGGGTGCTATGGCTCACATCTGTCAACCCAGCTCTGTGTAAGATATAGATGGGAGGATTGTGGTGTGAGACCAGACCTGGACAGAAGCATGAATGAAAAAAAAAGTAGAGCAAAAAAGGCTGGGGCATAGTTCAAGTGGCAGAGCACCTGCCTTGTAAGTGCAAGGACTTTATTTCAAACCTTAGTTTTATAAATAAGGGGAAAAAAAGGAAGAAAAAGGGAGGGAAGTAGGGAAAGGGAAGGGGAGGAGAAAAGAGTGGTAGGGAGAGAAGGAAGGAAAGGTAAAGAAAAGAATTAAAAGGGAGAAAGAGACGAGCTTTTCAGAATCAGGTCTAGAACTATAAAAAAAATCTACTGAAGGGAAGTGTAAGGAAATGTGTAATTCTTCAGATGATCTAATGGTATCCAGCAACAGTGGGTAAGGGGCTTGCCCTTTGTGTTAACAACCCTTCAACCATAACAGGGAATTACAAGTCTATGAACACAATGAACTACCCATTTTCTGAAGGATTTGGAATGTGAGATGCGTTTTGCTTCTTCATCATTCTGTCTATGGACAGAAGGAGAACTGTCAACCCAGTCTGCCCGCCTGTTCTATTACAATGTGCCTCCTGCATCTCTTTCTTTGAATACTTTTTGCTCAAAATACCATCATCTTGCCTCTCCTTAAAACCTCCCTCTACAACCTGCTTCCCAGGGTGCCTTTCTAAAATGTAATTAATCATAATATTGCCTGAGTAAAACCTTCTAGTGCCTCTCAGCTGCCTTCAGGGAAAATCCAACCCTGTTAGTAGGCTACATGAGCTTTTATTACTTTCTAAAGTATTTTTTAAAGTAATGTTAACATGTATTTGTTGTATAAGGAGGATTTGATCGTGACATTTCCATACAGGTATACAGGGCACCCTGGTCAAATTCACCCATTAGTCTATTTGCATACATGCATAGTTGCATGTAAATATACCATGCCCCCCAGCCCTGCAGCTACCCTACCCCTCAGAGACTGTTTTAGTTTCCTGTCATTCTTTTTTTGTTTTTGCATATGCTCATGATGCAAAGGGTACCATGGTATTTCACACATGCATATATTATAATTTAGCTAAATAGAACTCCTTGCTTTCTTTAACTTTTCCCCCTAACTTGCTATTGTTCAACAGCTTCCAATTAGATTCTTTCTGCCATCTATATACAGTGTATTCCAATATTATTCCCCCATCATTCTCTTTCCCTCTTCCCCAACAGTGACACAACTGCAATCATGTTATATGCATGTGTGTATGCCCAGACAAACATATATATATATATATTTTTTTTTTTGTAGATGTGTATGTATATGTGTTTTAGAGCTATAATCCACAGAGTAAAAACATATTTGCCATTTTGAGTTTAGCTCATTTAATTTAACATGATGAGCTTGAGTTCCATTCATTCTCTTCCAAATGATGTAATTCCATTTTTCATTATGGCTGAGTAATATTCTGTGTCATATATGTACCATGTGTTAATCATTCATTTATTGGTTGTTGGGCACCTCTGCTGATTCCACAGTTTGGTTGTTAGTATACGAATTGCTACTATGAATAGCTCTTCAGTGAGCATAGTTCTGCAGGTATCTCTCTTGCATATCACTTTACTTTTCTTTGTCTGTATGCCTAAGTGGTCTGGTGGGGTGAAAAGCTAGATTCACACTGTTAGTTTTTAAGGACTCTCAGTACTGATTCCCTCAGTGGTTGCCTTAGTTGAAATTCCCACCAGCAGTGTAGCAGAGTTACTTTTTCACATAAACTTTTAATAATTGTCCTCAACAACCTATGTTTCCTTTCCAGCTTAAGAGCTGCCCTTTCTCTATACAGATATCACCTACTAAGGCCATGTAGGCCTGATTGCATGGCCTGGTTGCCACCATCTTTTATTAAGAAAAACATTTAGCTAGGTGCTGGTGGCTCGTGCTTGTAATCCTAACTACTCAGAGGTGAAGATCTGAGGATTATGGCTTCAAGCCAGCCTTAGCAGAAAAAAATCTAGAAGATTCTTAGCTCCAATTAAGCAGCAAAGAGCCAGAGTGGGAGAGAGTGAGGACAGGGGTGACACTGTCTAAAAGGAAATGTACTCTTTGCCTGACTTATGTAACTGTAACCCCTCTGATGTTAGCATCAAATAACTTTTTAAAGCCAGAAGTGAAGCTGTGACTCAGGTGGTAGAGGACCAGCCTTGAGTAAAAAAGCCAAGTGAAGCCTTGTATACACACACACACACACACACACACACACACACACACACACACACACACACACACACACACACATATATAAAGGAGTGAAATAGTATAGAAAGTATTTCTTCCTGGTAGAGAAAGAAACCATTTTAAAGGAAACTGTTCCATCAATCAACAGGACTAACAATAGCCTTGGGACCATATTTTCACATTTAATCAGTTGGGCATAAACATGCCCTATTATGTCAGTTTGTTTTAAGACATAAAAAGTACTAGAAATTTATTTCCTAGAAAGACATATTCATAAGCATCCATATGCTGAAGGCTCTGTTGGGGAAGAATCAAAACTTTTACTGATAACTTCCCCCTCTGTTTTGCTATGTGAGGTAAACCTATGTAAAAACAGGAAGTTAAATGTAAAAAAAAAACAAACCTGCTTTTCTAGTCTATATATCTTTTCAACCAGGGAAAAACAAATTACATCAGGTCTAAAACCAAAGAAAATAAAACCTAAGAGAATGGTCATCTTGTGTCTTGCTCTGTGTTTAGATTTGGTGGAGACCCTTGTCTGACTTCTTTTGCCATGCCCCAGTAAGTCTTTTCTAGACAGGTTTCCCAGAGCAGACAGACAACACTGTTCATGGCTCATTGACTGTTTACTAAGGGTTTCCCCAACACATTTGCTCAAATAATTCCCTTGGATCCACAGCTTAGCATCTGAGGAGAGTGGAGCACAGAGATTGGCTAACACCCAAGTCAGCAAAATCCAGGCAGTGGGCCTGAATTCTGTGAATGAAGGTTAGAATGTGAATTGAAGAAGCCTTTATACTTTTTTTGATGGCTCTGGAATTTGAAGTCAGAGCTTCACACTTGCTATGCAGATGTTCTACCACGTGAGGCATGCTTCCAGGTCAGCTTTTGCTGGTTATTTTGGAGATGGAGCCTAGGGAACTTTCCCAGCCTGCTGGCCTCAAAGCAAATATCCTTCATACCTCAGCCATCTGAGTAGCTAGGATTGCAGGCATGAGCCAACCATGCCTGGCAAATAAAGCATTTTTTAAAAGTAAATTAAGTATAGTTATAACTAGAATTATATTGTACTTTAAGGAAATCAGTCTTACATGATATTTAGTTTCTCCTTTTCTAGGCCTTTTATGCAAGTTTTAAGTGGTGTTCTATCTTTTAGGGGAAAAATTCTTATAGTCTGATAGGAGCCTAGAAGTTTTCCATTTACCATCATTCCTCTTCTCCCAAAAGTAGAAAGGATGAGGATGAAGGTAAATGTGTGGAGCTGAAGGTTATCCTTGTCTTTTATAATTCAAAGATTAGCTGCTGCACTGTGAGGAAGATTTGCTCTCATTTTGTCGATGATGAGTTTGAGTCAGATTTCACGACTTGCTGTAGATTCACAGAGGCGGGAATTGCAGCACAGCAGTTGTAAGGACTCCTGTGCACCTGTACTCCTACCTTTCTGTTCCTTTGGCATCTTCCTTCTCTTTTTTCCCCTTTGGATTAAAAAACTTCGGCTTCCAAGTTTTCAGTTTATCTTCATTGCTGAGAAGAAAATTATTTTGAGCCAACTAAGTTAGAAGTGATCTATTAAACATTGATAGGATCACAAATACTTTCCTGATAACTCTTTTCACTAAATATCAAAAAGCCATTTAGAATTATATTTTGATAATAGAGGGGAAAATCACGTAGTAAATATTTTAGGCTTTGCCACTGTATCACCTCCGTGGCAACTGTTCAATGATACTTTGGTCTCTTTCTTTTTCTTTTGTTTAATATTGGGGTTTGAACTCAAGGTCTTGCATTTGCCTGGCTTGCTTGCTCAAATGGCATTCTACTACAGGAGACAGGCCTCCCATTCAGCGTCTTGCTGGTTATTTTGGAGATGGGATCTCTTGGACTGCCTGGGCTGGTTTTGAACCAGATTCACCAGCTGTTAACCAACTGAGTAGCTAGAATTACAAGAATGAGTCACTAAGTTCCTAGCTCAGTTCTATTCATGTGACATTATTTACAAAAATGAATAGCAGGCCATATTTGGCTCACAGGCTGTAGTCTGCTCACACCTAATCTGTAGTGATCTAAATTTGAAACCATATTAACCTACTTGTAATCACATTTCTTCTCTTCCATAAGCCTCTTTCTTTATGTCTACTACTGAACACCATGAGTCAGGGCTAAGCCAACTAGTATTTGGCATTAGGGGATCTGGACAAAAAGAGGACATGGGGAAGAGAAAGGCAATTATAGGGAAGCCATTTTTTAAATGTATTTGAGCATCTATGTGAGCATCTGTCTTATGCTAGGCATCTTACTAAATTTATCTCATTCAGTTTTCATAATAATGACTGCATTGATCCTGAAAAGTAGTGATCTGTAATGTCTTACAAAGAAGGAAATGGATGGTCACACTGGCTAATAGCATTGGATGTAGGTATCTGACTCCAAAGTCTGTGGTCCTTCACAGATTACCTTCTACTTCAGAACACTTCTTCACAAAGCTATGAGAACATCCTTCATTGACATAAGCATAAAAAGGAGCATATTTTATTAACCATCAATGTATCTGTCGTGTGGGCACCCAAACATATCAGTAGCTCTCAACTGGGAAAATGGTGAACTCAGAGACTTTCAGTTCAAGCAATTTGGTGGATGATTCACAATATGTCACTGTTCCCTGCAGATTGTGGTCACAAGTGCCCAACAGGATTGCCAGGGACTCAGTATTTTCCAGCATGGCTGCAGCAAAGGAAATGAATGCTTCTAAGAAACCTTCTCAGACTTGTCTAGGGATAGCTGACCTCTGTCTTTTCAATATCTGTTACCTTTGACCCCATCAGAAGCTCAGCAATGACTCCTAACTTCTGGGTTCATGTATTTCCTCTCTCTAAGCTCCCAGAAGGTAGAATCAGGACATAGATTCCAATTATATTCATCACAAACTCAGCACTAGGCACATTGTGTCAAGAAGGAGCTACTGTCATTAGAGCAGGGAATAGATATGACAATGACTGGCTCCAGTTGATTTTCTTCATTGAGTGTAAAGTAGCATACCCTGAGTGTTTAAAAAATTGGGGGCAACAGAAAGAAACAGGAGACAAAACAAGCATAGTCTTTCAATGGTATTCAACTTCTCTTCTAAATATTTTTTCCAAATACTTTTAAGAGCTGAATTGAGATTATGCAATACATAACAATTTCATACTCTGCTATTTAAAAATTGTCATTGTAGTCTAAGTATTCTCCAGGTCACTGGAAATGATTCACTATATATTTAGCATATATTTAAATGGTCTTATTGAGTAATCTGCTGTAATGTGCTTAGAATTTTACTATATTTTTGGACACTTAGGTTCTTATTTTATAAACACCCTGAAATAGGTATTTTGTGCATAGATCTGTTTCTTTTTTTCTTAGAGATAGTTGCTTGAAATGAAATTGCTTCTTGCAAAAGCAAAGAGATTACACATTTGAGGCCAGCCTGTGACTTAGTGAGACCCCACCTCAAAATAAAATAAAAATAAGAGGCCATAGAGTGCTTGCCCAGCATGTATGATCTGTGAATTCAATTCCTAGTACTGAAAAAAATAGTATCATTACAGAAGTCTCAGGAACAGTTTTAAGATATAAGTATAGAAATAGGTCTCTCTCCTTCTCTCTCTCTCTCTTGCTCACTCACACAGATACCTACATACACACACATACATATACACACATAGACTCTCTTTCACACAGAGAGCAGACAAAAAGAAGGAATGAGAAGTAGTAGTAATATACAAACATAGGGAAGCATTGATAATTTTCTTTTGAGGATAGCATGACCAGAATTTTAAGATATTTTAGAGAAGCTCAGGTTGATAATTTGAAATTTTCCACTGGATTTAACAAAGGGCTATTAGTGACTTTACCAAAATTTAGCTCTCTGATTTGACAGGAACAAAAGTATAGTTGCAATGAGTGAGTAGGATGGATGAGGATGAGTGGTTGATCTTTATCCTCAGCCATTTGGGTGAGAGGAAAAGAAAGTCATATAGCCAGAGAGGGGTCCTTTCTCTCTCTTCTCTCTCTCTTCTCTCTTTTATCAAATTATAGATATGTAACTTTTGAAAACACAGAGTCTATCAAATAGTCATTGCTCTCCTGAATTTTTTCAGGTATGAGGAATTCATTAAATAATTGTGCTAAACAGATTTTCAGTTCTCTAGATCCAAAGGTAAGAAACAAGAACAGATTCCAAATCTCCAGGGCCTTTGGGGCCACTAGGACCATGGGACCACCTATGATAGTCATTGTCTTCCCTCCATAGCAGATGACTATACACTGAATTCCATCTCCAGGGACCAGAAACAATGGCTCTGATAGTATTTACTGAGGTGTCAGGAAATGTCAAATGTCAGCAGGGAGGACTGGAACAGTAAACTTACTTACTTTGGTTCTTTTTTACTTGTGTCCACATCATCATAGATAATAACTTCCTGAGACTTAAGTCCTAGAGTGGAGAGAGACTCAAAATCATGATTGTTAGTATGCTTTATGCAATTGCTGGTTTTCCAAACTAATACACAATTACCTAATTGTACAAGTGTATCCTCAAGCCTGAGAGGCTGGAGCAGAAACATTCTCTTGGAAAGAAATTCAACTGGGTGATTGAAAAAAATAGTGAGGCATCCTAGTCTCTCTCTCTCCCTGGTTGAGCTCAAACTAGTATTCTCTCCATTTCCAGCTGGGATTACAGGCATGAGCCACTACATTCTGCTCAAATTCAATTTATTACACCTTAATAAACTGATCTGGATACCAAATCAACCAAAAGGGATGTGGTATAATGCAAAGTGCATGGATTTCATACTCAGAGAGACTTGAATACAAACCCCAGATCACTAAAGCTTGAGTGTGGCTCTTACAGCCTCTCTACAAAGGAGGTTTGCATCTGTTTCTCCATGATTTTAAGGGAAATACATCTACTCTACAGTCGGGTACACGGTAGCACTTAATAAATGCTTTCTATTGTCCCCAAAGGAAGGAATATCACTGTGTAAGTGCTTTCCTGATTTTGATGGACCTATTTTTCATTGGCTATGGGAAGGTTTAGAGGATTTTTCTTCTTCCCTTGTCACTGAATATACCAGTGCTGCGGAATATACTAGGACTCAAAGGTCAACCGCAGGTAAATGTCACTTACCTAAGTCAGGCAGGGAAATGGAAAACGCCCTGTTGATTGACAAAAAACACGAAAAGGTTAAAGGAAAAAGTCATGTTCAGAAAGCCTGGCTGAGACATACCAACTAACATGTCGATGGCTGGGTGTCTGAATCCAGATGAATACCTCAAGGCAAGCATGTGAAACGAGCCTGCAGCGTTGCTCAAAGTGAGTTGTTTTTTTCCCATGGTCTGCCTGGGACTCCATTTCCCAATTACTCACTTCAAGCTTCCCTGCTTCCTGACCTTGTCTTTCTAGAGAATCCTGCTTCAGTCTGTTGGTCTTCTAAGAGGCCCATCAAATACAGCCAATGTGCATAAGGATTGAGGGGACAGAAGAAGCTACACATGAATTAACCGGGATGCTCTGCATATACTACACCCTGTCCATGTGGTTATTTCAGGGAAGTACTGAGGGAGAGAAATCTAGCCCAGGTAAGATGGTCAGCTGTTAGGAGGGAAAATATATGTGATCCATCCAGATTGCTTTTGCTCTTTTGATCTTACAGCTAAGAAGATCACATGGAAAGAACTGTGGAGCAGTAGACAAAGAAAAAAATAACTACATGTTTTAAGTGTTAATTTAAATTCAGTCTTACAGGTATTATTGGAACAGCTATCATGAACCAAACCTTTGGGTTGAGTATGTAAGAGGTTCAGCCTTGAAGTAGCTTGGAGAAATAGAGAAGGGAAGGGTGAACAAATGCAGTTGTGGCACTCAATATACACTGTGTGAAAAATGAACTATGCAACTGTGGGCAGGGACAGGAGGGGAAAACTGGGGGAAAGTGAAAGAAGGGGTAAACATTGTCCAAGAAGAATTGTACTCATTACCTGACTTAGGGAATAACCTCTTTGTAGAACACCTTGATAATAACAATACAATTATATATATATATATATATATAGATAGATAGATAGATAGATAGATAGATTGATAGATAAACAATGGGCTCACTTGATGAATCTAGCGCTAACAAACAAGCAGACTGCAAGCTGCAACACTTTAAAGCTTTATAATTAAAAAAGGATCTCAAGGTAGCGTAGCATAATTCCATCTCAATATAGCTGATAGTCTCAGAAAATGATTTTTACCATCCCTGCCCAGCATATAGATACACAGATCCTAACTCTATGATCTGTACCAATAGCTCAGAGTGAGCTGTCAGTAGTCTGCCAGGGTGTGCTGGATGGAATGGCTACCCCGTGAGTGAAAATAGAAGTGGTTTGCTATGGTGGCAATCTGAATAAACAGCGTAAGTGACCCTTGAATCTAGAACTCAGGTTATATATTCACTGTGTGTGTGTGTGTGTATGTGTTCACTAAATATTAGCAGTTATCAAGGCTATCTTGGAGGTCCTGGTTCTAGGTCTAAGACTTTGAGATATATAAACCATTCAGCAGTACACCGCATCTCCCCCTCCACATATTGCTGTCTGTGAGAGAGACAAATTCAAGATGGCATTGTATACAGATAATACTGCTGGGACTCGTGGTGCCAAGCAAGCATAAAAGGACATCATTAATAGCATAATGCATGAACAGGTACCAACATTTTCAATCTGGAACTTGCTGGGTTAAGGTTTTCCCTCTACTCTCATTGATGAATTTGTCCATATCAGGTTTTTCAAATTGGACATGTCATTTTCTCATTGGAGTTTATGGCTGTGGTTCACTCCAGGCCTGGGGTTTTAGTTCCCAGAATTTCTTTCACTGTTAAGAGAGGACCATCATCCCAGGTGTAATCCCCTCCAAGAAAGAGAGATAAAATGGGACTTTTTTTTACCTTATATTTTCTTTTGATTTGGTTTTCTTCATTTTAAGTTTATCCTTTTCTTTTTTGAAGAAATGTTGGAGTCTTTTAAGTGTTTCTTTTCCATCTAAACTAAGAGGAATCAGAGGATAAATACCATGAAATTTGAGAGAATACTAAAGATATGGAAGGCTTCAGTTGGATTTCCAGATCATACCCCACTCAAAGAAACTCAAAAAAATGTCTTCCCAACAACTACCCCTTTCTTTGTTTAGATTCTAATAGAAAGTAGCGCACACCAGCCAGACACAGAGGATCTAATTATACAGCAATGCAACTTTCATATACCTCCAAGATGTGTATTTTGGTAGTCTGTGGAATACTTTCTTCTTTTTAGAGGAGAAATGGATTAGGATGGTTTATAATTATATCAGTGATTTTAAATTTATTGAATATTACAGGGCTGTGGCAAAACAATGCCTAGTTGACGATCAAGATCCTTCCTAATGTCTTTCTGGGTTTGTTTCATTGGTGTGAAAGAGGAAGATTGACAGATTCATTATCTCACTCCCATGCCCAGACTAGGATCCTTTTCCCTTCTACCCTTATTCTTCTTACTTTTGACCCTTGTTGGTTTTCCTTCCCACAATGTGACAAATAATGTGCCCTTAAACAATTTTGTTCAGTTCTTGATAACAGTGAATTACTAGATGTTAAATAATACCCACATCCCAGGAACTTGCGTCCCTAACTTGTAAAGACAAAGATAAGTTATAGTCATTCACTTGACCCAGGAAATGTAAACATGGAATTAAAGAAAGTTTCACTAATAGTGAAGCAATGTAAACTTCTAAATACCCTAAGGATCACCACATAGAGTTCTAGTATTCTATCGCCAGTCTATATGAGGCCATCCTAAAGGACAGGCGCAGGGTCAGGGTCATTTCCTAAACTCTGCCACACCTAACACATGAAAATACCATGAGTATACACAAAGCCAAGAAAAAAGAAACTCACTCTATTTTGGGGTGGTTGCTCTTTGTTTTATAGATATCTTCATACATTTCTTCACTATTTTCTTCTGAAAGTAAATAAAGAAAACTATGTTCAGTCCTAATAACAATAATTTTTGCTTGCTTGTTTGTTTGGTTTGGTTTTGAGACAAGGTCTTGCTCGATTCTACTGCCTCAGCTCCCCAAGCCCTGGACTAAGACTACCTCAGGCTTCTATTACTAAACCTGATTTTAGATGAACACCTAACAAACAAACAAACAAAACAGTGCATTTGAATACATGTTAGTACATTCCTTTCAATAGTTTTTATTAAAATGTATATGTTTTCATAAATATGCTTAAAAACTTAAACCTCTATAGAGCTGTGTAGGAATGACATGACTCATTTCTGAATCAAAATCTGATCTGACTTAGTAAAAGAAAGTTTATCAACAGATTCCTTCATTTTCCCTCCACCTTTCCGATATTTAGTAGGCAACAACTAGAGTCTTTTTTTTGTGTGTGTGTATGGGTTGTGGGGCTTGAACTCTGGGACTGGGCACTGTCCCTCAGCAATTTAGCTCAAGGCTAGCGCTCTACCACTTGAATCACAGCACCACTTGCAGTTTTCTGGTGGTTTATTGGAGATTAGAGTCTCACAGACTTTCCTGCCCAGGCTGGCTTTGAACCTCCATCCTCAGATCTCAGCCTCCTGAGTAGGTAGGATTACAGGCGTGAGCCTCTGGCACCGGGCTTGGAGTCTTTTTTAAACATGAGACATTGTGCTGGAAGTACAAAAGGAAACCAAATGTGTTTGGAGGAATCTCTTTCTTCATAGCTTGACTTTAGCTCAATGCTGGATTAAAGGTCTGAACCCAAGGCTCAAAACCTGACTCATATATTGTGTGCATCATTACAGGTCTCAGTCCTCAGTCCTCAGTTCCCTTTTTGAAATGAAGAGATTGCTGTTCCTCTACGTACCACTCTCGGAGGCAAATGAGCTTGAAAAGTCCAGCTTTGGTCTGTGGGAGAAAGGACAGAAAGGCCATTGACTTGCTATAGTTTACAGTCCCACCACATTGGCATTGTCGAGCCGTATGACTGCAGGTACTTACACGTCTGTCTTAGGATACTCCACATCATCATAGGTCTCTTCTGAAGGGGAACTTGACCTGAAGGCTGTTGAATCTGAGATTTCCTTAGTCACTTCCAAAGCCTGCACGTACCCACCTGAGGAAAATAGAAGCCAAGAACACATTCATACACATGCATGGGTGATGGAGCAAGAGCCAGAAGAGGCAAATGAAATGAGTGGAAACAGATGTGACCTTGGTATGTGGTGATTCTTGAACAAGCCACTCCAGTTATAACTCTCTGAGGCAAGGATAATGATAATAGCGCTTACAGGAGTGTAGCCAAAAAGGAGTACATATTTATGACTTCTATTTTTCATTTTTCTTTATCCCCCACTCATTCTTTCTTTCTTTCTTTAAAATCATTTTCTAAAGTAGAATGGGTTTTGGTAATCTTCCCAGACGAATGATATAGATCTATTTCATCTTCATTTCTATCTAAACGGATGTATGGTACAATATTCACTGGATTTTTTTTATACCAGTAACAGGGCCTCCTCCTCTCACTCAGCTTTTTTGCTGATGGCTGGCACTCTCCCACCAGAGTTACACCTCCAGTTCCAGCTTTTTGTTGTGTAATTGGAGATACAAATGTCACAAATTTGTCTGCCAAGGCAGGCTTTGAACTAAAATACAAGATCTCAGTCATGAGCAGCTGGGATTACAGATATGGGTCCTAGTTCCTGTTTATACATTGATTTTTTTTAAGTAGGTGCTGATCCTGGGGCTTGAACCCAGGGCCTGGGTGCTGTCCCTGAGATTTTTTTCTAAACATACCAACAAAAAGAAATGCTATTTCTCATAGCCCTGGAAGCTGTCAAGTTCAAGATGAATGTGTCAGCATGGTCAGGTTCCAGTGAGGACACTCTCTCTCCAGGGCTACAGTTGAGGGCCTTCTTGCTGCGCTGTTTCCCCATGTGATTGAGAGCCGAGAAGAGGAAGGAAACTCTTTGCAGTCTCTTCTTTTCTTTTATTAATTTACTTTATTGTTATTATAAAGGCGATTACAGAGGGATCATATTACTTGAGTCAGGTGATGAGAACATTGCTTTTTGGACAGTGTCTTCCTTTCCCTCCCTTTCTCCCAGTCCCTCCCTCCTGTCTCCACTTATGAGTTGTATAGTTCACTTTCATCAGTGTCTGGTGGGCTCCATTGCTGCATTAACCCTTTTCCCCTCGAGTGTTGTATCCCCCCCCAACTCTCCTGAAGATATACATGCAAATGCACTATACATAGAGAAAAGACAGAATCATCAAAAATATTTTTTTAAAAGAGAGAGATCCTGTTTCTCTATCTTGGAGTTCATTTTGATATATACCTGTGTGTGTGTGTGTGTGTGTGTGTGTGTGTGTGTGTGTGAATTCACAAAGTTGGGCAATCTAACTGGGGTGAAATGGAATCTCAGAGTTTTGATTTGTGTTTTCTTTATGGACAACGATGATGAGCATTTCCTTATATGTTTCTTTACCATTCTTACTTCTTCTCTGGGACATCTCTCCTTGGCTCCTTTGCCCATTTAGTGATTGGCTTATTAGGTTTAGGAGGGGTTAGTTTCTCGAGCTCCTTATATTTATAGGATATTAGGTCTTTGATGTATTGCTGGTAAAAATCTTCTCCCAGTCTGTTGGCTGTCTTTCTAGTTTAGTAACTATGTCCTTAGTGATGCAGAAACTTTTTATTTTGATGTGGTCCCATTTGTCAAGTTTCTCTCCTATCTGTTGCACCCCTGGGACTCCTTTCAAGAAGTTTCCGCCTATACCTATCAGTTCTAATGTTTCTCCTACCCTCTTGTAGTAGTGTCAAAGTGTTGGGTCTGATGTTAATACCTTCAATCCACTTTGGATTGATATTAGTGCATAGTGACAAACAGGGATCCACTTTTAGTTTTCTGCATATGGATGCCCAGTTGTCACAGAACCAACTATTGAAGAAGCCATTTTTTTTCACTGTATGTCTTTGGCTCCCTTATCAAATATCAGGTAATCATAAGTGTATGTTTTTATTTCTAAGTCTTCTAATCTATTCCATTGATCTTTGGTTCTATTTTTGTGCCAATACAAGCTGATTTTGTTATTATAGCTCTGTAGTAGAGCTTTAGGTCTGATACTGTGATACCACCCTCATTACTTTTTTTTTTTTTGCCTAGAATTGCTTTTGGCTATCCCAGGACTTTTGTTGTTTCATATGAATATGTAGGTTATTTTTCTTTATCTCAGTAAAGAATTGATGGGGATTGATTGAATTTATATATCATTTTTGGCACTAGGGCCATTTTCATAATATTGATTCTACCTATCCATGAACATGGAAGGTCTTTCCATTTTCTAACGTCCTCTTTGATTTTTTTTCAAATTTTTATAGTTTTTACTGCAAAGATATTTTATATCTTTGGTTAGGTTCATTCCTAGGTTGGTTATTTTTTAATTTTGAGGCTATTGCAAATGGAGTTGTTTTCCTGATTTCCCTTTCTGTTTTTTGATTGTTGACATACAGAAAGTCTACTAATTTTTGTGGGTTAATTTTGTATCCTGCTACTTTGCCAAAGTGATTGGTTAGCTCTAGGAGTTTGAGGATGGAGTTTTTTGGGTCATTTAGGTATGAGATCCATGTTGTCAGCAAAGGGATAGTTTGTTTCTTCTTTCCCTATGTGAATCCCTTTTATGTCATTTTCTTGCCTTATTGATCTGGCTAGGAATTTCAGAACTATATTGAAGAGGAGTGGAGAGAGTGGACATCCTCGTCTTTTTATTGATTTTAGGGGAAATAGTTGTAGTTTTTCACCATTCAGTATGATGCTGGCTGTTGGTATTTCATATATAGTCTTTATTATTTTAAGGAATTTTCCTTCTCTTCCTAGCTTCTGTTGGCTAGTGTTTTATTTTCTTTTTTCTTTTTCTTTTTGTTAGTTGTGGGGCACTGTTCCTGTGGGTTTTTTTTTTTGCTCAGGCTAGTGCTCTACCACTTTGAGCCACAGTTCCACTTCTGGTTTTCTAGTAGTTAATTGGAGATAGAGTCTCACAGCTTTTCCTGCCTGGGATGGCTTTGAACTATGATCCTCAGATTGCAGCCTCTTAAGTAGCTAGGATTACAGGTATGCGCCACCAGCACCCAGCCGCTAATATTTTATTGAAGAGATGTGACTCTGTGTTCATCAGAGAGACTGATCTATATAGTTCTCTTTTTTTGTTGGATCCTTACCAAGTTTGGGGATGAGTGTGATATGTGTTTCATAGAATGAGTTTGGAATAATCATCCTGTTAATGTTTCTTCAAAAAGTTTAAGGAATATTGGTGCTAGTTCATCTTAAAAATTCTTACCTAATTCAGCTGTGAATCCATCAGGGACTGGGCTTTTCCTCTGGAAGCCTTTTGAGTACTTCCTCAATGTCTTTGTGTGTTATGGGTCTGTTTAACTGGTTTATATCTTCTTGGTTCAGCTTAGGCCGTTTTACGTCTCTAGAAATTTGTCCATTTCTACTATGTTTTCCATCTTATTTGAGTGTAGGTGTTGAAAGTACTTTATAATCATTTGGGTTTCCTGGATGTTTGTTGTAATGTTTCCTGTGGCATCTCTAATTTTCCTGATTTGAATCTCTTCTTTTCTTCATCAGTCTAGCTAGTGGTCTGTCAATTTTATTGATTTTTTTTCAAGAACCAGTTTTTTGTTTCAGTGATTTTATGAATATTTTTTCTTTTAGTCTCTATTTCATTAATTTCTGCCCTAATGTTGACTATCTCTCTCCATCTAGTAGTTTGGGGTTTGGTTTGTTCTTGTTTTGCTAGCAGTTTTAGTTGCATCATGAGGTCATGTACTTGAGCTGATTCTGTTTTATGTGTGCACTTAGAGCTATGAACTTCCCTCGCAGCACTGCTTTTGCTGTATCCCAGAGGTTTCTTTGTGATGTATTTTCATTTTCATTGAATTGTACAGACTTACTAATTTCTTCCTTTATTTCTTCAAGACCTGTGTGTTATTCAGTAGTTTGTTAGTGTGTTTGAGTGTTTTCTCCAATATGTTTTGTTGTTGAGAACTAGTTTGGTTCCACTGTGGTCAGAGAGGATGCAAGGAGCTATCTCAATCCTCTAGTACTTGCTTAAGTTCTTTGTGTCCTATGATACGATCAATTGTGGAGAACATTTTACAGGCTACTGAGAAGAATGTGAATTGGGTCATTGCTGGGTGGAATGTTCTGTAGATACCTGTTAAGCCCATTTGGGTTAAAGTGTCATTTAATTCAGAGGCTTCTTTCCTTGTCCTGTCAGAGTGGAATGTTGAAATTTCCCACTACTATTGTGCTGGGGTCTATCGTGTTCTGTAAGTCTAAGAGTGTTTGTTTAATATATGTAGGTACTCCATTATTTAGCGCATAAATATTGACCACTGTGATTTCTTCTTCATGGATCATTCCTTTTTCATATGCAATAACCTTCCTTGTCTCAATGAAAAAAAATCTATCTTCATCAGATTTCAATAGAGCTATTTTTGCCTTTTAGCAAGATGCATTTCCATGAAAGAATTTTTCTAATCCTTCACTCAAAATTTATTTTTATCTTTGACTGTGAGATGGTCTTTTTAGAGGAAACAAATAGATGGATCTTGTTTTTCGATCCAATCTGCTGCTGTATGTCTTTTGGTTAGGGAATTGAGTTTGTAAATGTTTAAAGTTACTATAGAAAGATGTGTTATGTTTCCTACCATTTTCTTGTTTTCCTGTAGTTTACATCTTCCCTCTTCCCGTGGTTACTAAACTAGTCTTCTAGTGATACTGTGTTTCCTTGACTTTAATTATTTTGTTCAGATTGCATGCTTCTCTTTAGTATATAATGTAATACTGGTTTAGTGTTCATGAATTCCTTTAATTTTTGTTTGTGATGGAAAGTTTTAGTCTCACTGTCAAATGTGAATGATAGTTTCACTGGGTCCACCAATTTGGGTTGGCAGTTGTTGATCTTAAAGGCTTGAATTATACCATTCCAGGCCTTCCTTGCATTGAGTTTGTGTGGAGAGATCACCAGCAATTCTGATTGACTTTCCATTGTAATATAGCTCCTTGTTTGATTTTGCTGCATTGAAAATTAAATTTTTTTAAGTACAGA